AATATATTCTACTTTGATATGAAATTATAAAATCGCGTGCCTCTCGAGCGGAACATATTTCTATTAACAATTGAAAATTGCAAAATTTAACCCTTTTTCGCTTTACGTAATTTTGATGAAAAGGGGTATCTTCAACAGGGGAGTACTCCCTTTTCTAAGTTCGAGTAGTTTTAGGTTCAATGTGTGTGATAAACTTAATATATTCCACTTTGATATGAAATTATAAAATTGCGTGCCTCTTGAGCGGAACATATTTCTATTAACATTTGAAAATTGCAAAATTTAACCCTTTTTCGCTTTACGTAATTTTGATGAAAAGGGGTATCTTCAACAGGGAAGTACTCCCTTTTCTAAGTTCGAGTAGTTTTAGGTTCAATGTGTGTGATAAACTTAATATACTCTACTTTGATATGAAATTATAAAATCGCGTGCCTCTTGAGCGGAACATATTTCTATTAACATTTGAAAATTGCAAAATTTAACCCTTTTTCGCTTTACGTAATTTTGATGAAAAGGGGTATCTTCAACAGGGGAGTACTCCCTTTTCTAAGTTCGAGTAGTTTTAGGTTCAATGTGTGTGATAAACTTAATATATTCCACTTTGATATGAAATTATAAAATCGCGTGCCTCTTGAGCGGAACATATTTCTATTAACATTTGAAAATTGCAAAATTTAACCCTTTTTCGCTTTACGTAATTTTGATGAAAAGGGGTATCTTCAACAGGGGAATACTCCTTTTTCTAAGTTCGAGTAGTTTTAGGTTCAATGTGTGTGATAAACTTAATATATTCTACTTTGATATGAAATTATAAAATCGCGTGCCTCTTGAGCGGAACATATTTCTATTAATATTTGAAAATTGCAAAATTTACCATTTTTACGTTTCACGTAATTTCGAGTAATAGGGGTATCTTCAACAAGGGAGTACTCCATTTTCTAAGTTCGAGTAGTTTTAGGTTCAATGTGTGTGATAAACCTAATATATTCTCCTTTGATATGAAATTATAAAATCGCGTGCCTCTTGAGCGGAACATATTTCTATTAACAATTGAAAATTGCAAAATTTAACCCTTTTTCGCTTTACGTAATTTTGATGAAAAGGGGTATCTTCAACAGGGGAGTACTCCCTTTTCTAAGTTCGAGTAGTTTTAGGTTCAATGTGTGTGATAAACTTAATATATTCTACTTTGATATGAAATTATAAAATCGCGTGCCTCTTGAGCGGAACATATTTCTATTAACATTTTGAAAATTGCAAAATTTATCCCTTTTTCGCTTTACGTAATTTTGATGAAAAGGGGTATCTTCAACAGGGAAGTACTCCCTTTTCTAAGTTCGAGTAGTTTTAGGTTCAATGTGTGTGATAAACTTAATATATTCTACTTTGATATGAAATTATAAAATCGCGTGCCTCTTGAGCGGAACATATTTCTATTAATATTTGAAAATTTACCATTTTTACGTTTCACGTAATTTCGAGTAATAGGGGTATCTTCAACAAGGGAGTACTCCATTTTTTAAGTTCGAGTAGTTTTAGGTTCAATGTGTGTGATAAACCTAAAATATTCTACTTTGATATGAAATTATAAAATCGCGTGCCTCTTGAGCGGAAGATATTTCTATTAATATTTGAAAATTGCAAAATTTAACCCGTTTTCGCTTTACGTAATTTTGATGAATAAAGGCATAATCGACACGGGATTTAAAAAAAAATTAGTTGCTAACTATTTATTATGCTTATTTTACCAAGCAATTAATGCTTTTGCTTTGTAAATGGTAATTTTAGTTATATTTAATAAATATCTTTCCTTTTTTGTTATGTTAATTTTACCTGTCTACATTTTTTCAGTTGTAAATAATGACACGCCTATAATTCTGCCAAGAATTTTAACCTTTTCGCCTCGCCGCACACAAAGGTCAAATTCTACTAGCTTCACAGCGGTGTAGTGTACAGTATATATTTACGGTAAATCCGCTGCCTGATATTTTTCATCTTTAGTCTTATGTAACATATTTATAACGTTGGCGAGTAGATGTGCCCTCTTAATCTCGACGTGGGACAGTCTGAAAATGTTTGTTTTCTATGGGGAACAGTGGACCGGGGTTCAGTGGGACATGCTCCCTTAGGCACAATTTGACAATGTTTGATCCATTAAGTGATTCGAGGCCTAGAGATGCGTTTTGTTTTGTCAGTATGTTAGTCGTTGGTTTTGTGTGATATTAATTAGGGTATCTTTTGGCCCATGGCCCAATATGGAATATTTTTAAGAATCAAAAATATTTTCAGATTCTGATTCGAAAAAAAAAATTAATTATGCCTATGAAATTATCTGGAAAAATATCTGAAATATTTTGGTTGAACATTGATTTCAGAAATATTAAATTTCCAAATTTGAAGTCTCACTGTTTTTTGATGATAATGCTCGGTAGGCGAGTAGTAAGCTGTTCGGTAGGCGAGTTTAGACTACTAAGCTCACATTCATGAATATATAAGTGTTACTGTGATGTATAAAGGTTTTAATATATTTGAAGGTACTCCCTGTACTCATTCAAAACATTTAATACCAATAAAGTTCAAGCCTCTCTGTAGTCGAGTTGTCTCTGGTGAGTTGTCCGTGTAGTCGAGTTGTCCGTCCGTTATCCGATTATTGAATTAACTCATATTCCTTAACTCCTCTATTATTGTTGTCTGTGCATTCAATAGTACAGTAGGTATTGCCGGTATGTCATTACTGTACTATATACTATTTTCGATATTTTACGGGGCACATGGAAGAAAACTTATACAAGGGAATATAATTTGGAGACATGGTGATAGATCATCCTTTCATACATATCCGAATGATCCATATAAATTTGTATGGAAAGATGGAAAAATGCAGTTGACAAGCAAAGGAATGACACAAGCATACGAATTGGGACTTTATTTGAAATCAAAGTATGGAAACCTGATCAGTAAGAAATACAAGGAGAATGAAATTTATATAAAAAGCACTGATACCGACAGGAACCATTATGACAGCTCAATGCGTCGTCTCTGACTTTATGCACTTCCAAATTCTACCATAGGGAAAAGTACTATAGCATTTCGTCCATTTCCTATTCACACTGATTCTTTGAAAAGAGATTGGCTCTACAACAGAAAAAAATATCCTGAGAAGGGCTGCAAAGCTTTCGCTGATTTATTGAAAAAAGGTCAAAATGAATCAAAATTTTACAAATCTCTACTTTCTAGCTATGCACACTTTTTTAAAAATATGACATTTTTAACTGGTATGAAAGAGCCATATGATTTCAATTCTATAACTGATTTATATGATAACCTAATTTGCCTGCGATCCAATAATTACACACTACCAAAATGGGTGGACGATAACACAACGAAAAGTCTCGCATATCTTGCAGGCCTCCACCAAGGGCTAGCTTGTACTGATTATGAACTTAAATATGCAAAAACTCTTTCTAAGATGACAAATGGAATCATTCTTGGAAACATGCTGGAAAATATGGAGAAACAAATTAGGAATGAAACACAATATTCATTGGTCGGTTATTCTGCTCATGACAACTGCATCACTACTCTTCTTGTTTCCATCGGAGCACACAATTGGATTATTCCACCATATGCATCATGTGTCATGCTTGATTTATATTTGGAAAACGATTTAAGTTATTCGGTTGAATTATGGTACAGAAATGATTCTACACAATCGCCTCATCGACTACCATTTTATAAATGCGGCACATCTTGTTCTTTTGAACAATTTCAAAAAGTTGCCTCAGAGGTTGTTCCTGGAAGTGACAATGCTAGATTATGTGGTATTTCAGATGGGTACTGTGGTAATTTTTTTCTTATAGGGCTGGCTATTCTTGTTACAAATATTCTGCTATTTGTTTCAGTGTACTACTGTATTTTTTGAAGAAACCCGTATTCTCGTCTTCCTCAACATGAAAGTGATACTCTTAATTTGAAATCGATGTAGGAGGACATTACTTTTGTCATGTATATCAACCTATGTCAGTAGTTTATTTTAAAAGTAGATAGAATAGAAAGATAGCATTTTAGAGAATAGGATATCGTATTTATCTTCGGTGAACATATTTATTTTAGGTGGGTAAAGACTTACATTGGCTTAGTAATTTGTTGTACTCGCGATATCCATCTGATTACCCGGTAGTTCACATGTATGTTTCATTGCATAAATATTATAGTGAAAGAAGTGGGATCCAGTCGATGGTTTCATGAAAGGCCCAGCGTTAACTAATTTTTTTTGTTCATATATGATCATCATCTTATGAGATTTAAACTTGCAACTCACTCTTTTTTTATGAGACTTGAACCCGCAACTCACTCCCTTGCGAGTGCAAGTTTGTACCCGTAGTTGATACAGCAATTGCTCAAAGATTCGTAGTCTATATATTTCTATAGGGCTTGCTTTTATTTCTGTTTCTTTATATTTGAAAATCACACAATGCATTTTTTGAAATATAGCATGTTCATAATACCTCACACTATTAAATATAGTACTTATTTTTAAATCAGTGCAGAAAGTTTCATGTCCATCATATATTTTCCTTCTATAAGTCAAGATTGAAACGTGGCATTGTTTACATGATATCACTTTTCTTTCTATATGCTATTCATAGTTAGTATTTTAAGCTAGTGATTTTATTTGAAATGTTTTATGTGCAAGTGCAATTATTATTACGGTATTTCTCATCATTGTCCATAGGAGTATACAGATTTTATCATTTTAATAAAAAGTTGTTATCTGCTGCTAAGAGGTCACATTACTAGCCTTATCACTTCTGATTTACTGTAAAATGAAATTGTATGTCAAATTAATTAAAAAGATGTACACATAATGTGTTTGAATTAGTATGTGCAATACATTCCATATGCCCTATTATATTTGGCCATACTACCTGATCTGAACCTTTCTTGCCAAACACAAACCAACTATTTATTAGTACCGTACTTTTATTTCAGATTACCTAATGGAATTACTTTCCCAGCCCACGCTAACAGCTTTGCAAGTCTGTGGAACAGTCGGACTTCCAGAAAAGTGTTTCCGAGTTATTGTTAAAAATGCATTGGATTGCATTTTCAGTCAGCATGAAGATGAGATTCTAATAGATAAAGACACTGTGGAGATAGATGCTGCCATCTTGAAGCAAACATACCTCGCTATAATGACGTTGTTTGTTGAAGCCTCGAAAACAGATACAAGCTCTGAGCAATTCAGTATGGTTTTAGATGACTGTAAATTGCTCCCGAAACAAAAAGAGATTTTGCAAGAATCATATAAGCTAAACAAGCAAAAGGTACGATCACACTTGGCCCGAATTAACAAAGGCTTACCTCATGTAGTTGATATCGATTGGAGACTTGATTACAACATGAAGAATAGTCAGTTGAATAAAGTTATGGATTTGAAATACACCCTTTCCTTTAAAACTGAACAACAGTTGTGTGGTGAAATAAACTCTAACCAAGAAGATAATGTGCAATTTTCTTGCACGCGTGAACAGTTGCAAGACTTTGTTGGAAAATTAAAAGAAGCAGTAAAATCAGTTGAAAGGGCAAGCCAAAGCTGAATGAAGCCTAGGAAATGAAGATGGTGATGAAATGACAAGCCGAATAAAATTGAATTGGATGAAATTTTCTCATATATCATGCACTGATGTTTGTATCCAGGACAAGATTCACCGAATAATTTGACACTTTTCAACTTTTTTTTTAATTATTCTCAAGTGTTTGGCAATACCTGTCACCTGGCATACTTGTCTGGCCGCTTGGTTTAATTGTACATGACACTAAGCCATATATCTAGAAATTCGGGTAAGTGAGGGAGATTCTTTCAATTATTTAATTCAAAATGCATGTACCATGCTGATTATATAATTACTGCAAACCCTACTTTGGGATGCCAGGTATTAACACTACTAACCAAATAAAGTTGTCTGGATAGTCATTTTTCTATGATTCCTATATTCCGATCTTATTCCAAGTGCAATATAATACTTTGGCAAAAACACTTAATTTTCTAGTGCTGTTGTCCTGAAAAAATGTTTGAACTTTGAACAGGTAGTGCCTAGTCAAAAAAGTTGTGACCTCTTATTGACTCTGCCAGGACTCTACCAAAGTGTGGTTTCGCTTCTCATCTAGTTAACTTAAAAACTAATTGTATTGGGCCGAGTGGCAAGGCTGTTGTCCTGAAAAAATGTTTGAACTTTGAACAGGTAGTGCCTAGTCAAAAAAGTTGTGACCTCTTATTGACTCTGCCAGGACTCTACCAAAGTGTGGTTTCGCTTCTCATCTAGTTAACTTAAAAACTAATTGTATTGGGCCGAGTGGCAAGGCTGTTATAGTTATTCAGCATAGGATAGAATTTTTAATCGGGGAAGAAAATAAAAAAAAGCTTAATCATACCGCGAATCACGGCCTCTCGCCCGGTTTCTGGTCCGCGTGGGATATTTCTAAAGCAGTCGCCGCGATTACGCGCTCTGTAAAACGCCCAGCATTTCAATTTATTACAACTACGAGAATTTAAAATGTCTTCCTTGCCATATCATTTTAACTGTGTTTAACGTAACTCGCGATTGCGTCGACTTACGACAAAATAAAAGCATTACTTCCACCCAAAATACCGCGGCAATCTGCGGACATGAACATGTGTGCTACCGTGGCCGATCATTTCTTGTTTTGATTCGTATTTTTGCGGATTCGCGAAATCTGAGCTGTCCTCGCAATACTGACTCCGTTCTATTGCAATGCTTCCCGAAGCTCATTATTTTCATAATATAGTAAGCCCGTCAAATACGGACACCACTGTAGCAAAATCTTAATTTCTCGTAATTTTTATCATATAGAAGCGTGACTCCCGTATTAAAATAAGCAATTTGAACGTGCCCTACAGCCCACTGTCGATTTCGGCAATCCGCCTAATATTTTGTTAGGAAATGAGCATTTTGTCCCAAAAAATTTATTCGGGTAAAACGGACACATGGATAGGTAAGACGAACATTCAACAAAATTAATTAAAGACACTACTGAACTATTCAAATGCGTCTAGAACGCCTAAAAGATTCATAAATAATAAGCCTCGAGCATTACAGTGGGGGCGAGCAATGATGTTCATATTACCCCACCAGACATGAAAACTTATTAATCATCCAGGCATATACTTGTAACTGAACAAAAGCTTTGCTAATGCATGCGCAAACTCTAGTTGATCAACTGTATGTCCTTTACCATAAATAACATGAGGAAATTAAACTAATGAAACAAGCAAATTATTTATATTCTTTCATTTGATGTTCTATTTATTACAGGCGCGTTGCAGTGCGCAACAGGTTACTGTCAGTGGGACCAATGACATTAAACAACATGATAGGCAACTCTGACGTCACTCCATAAGACTACAGGCGAAACATTATATTTCATGATACGCTCCAATGCACATATTTCTCGTCGCCTTTCGCGTCCGTTTTCCGCTCGCTTTTGCTACTCGGCGTCTTTTTTACGTGTAGTACCTGCCTTTTTGCGCCTGTAACGAAACAAAACAATCTCTATATCTAAGAAGTTTTGCTTACTTGGAAAGCTGGAATAACAGGCAAGCTGTAAAGAGCAATTCTGGACATCATAGACGTTTTTTTTTTATCAGAGAAGATCACAAACGCGATAGCGGAAAGATTTGTGTGGAACATTTTGCAGATAATGACAAAGTTCAAAGTTAGTAATTTTAATGTTTGCGCTTAATCATTGAAATTTCATTTAAAAAGGGTGTCATACAAAACTGTGCTGCGATACAATTCCATAACACAAAGTTTGCACCTATCGAACTTGCTTTTGTAGGTGAATTTATTAGACGTATTACATATTCAGTTAATCGTAGGTAACATTGCTGGTACATAATGCATCGTAGATAGGTTTGTTTAAATTTAGGAATTTAGCTCATAGCCCACTAATTAATATTATCTTCTATGCAGGAGGTTGCAGGGCTGAATTCAACTTGCAGCCTTACCGATCACCTGACGATGCTCATTTAGTTTGGCTCGAGCAAGTCTTCTTGAAATGCTTGTGTGGATGGAAACTACCTATATTTTTTGCCTTCCTCCGATTTTAGACAAATTTATTCTGAGGGATTTCGCATATAATTCTCACTGATTGTTGGCTGTTTATAATTCCTATTGATTGTGAATTCTGATTATAACAATGAGTTGAAAATTTTTTTACCTAATTTACTGGCACCTTTTTCTTGTCAATACTCCAAGCTGAGGTAATAAACATGACAATACATTTATGTCATCTGGAAGCAAAATATGCACACTAATTAATAGTTTAGCACATTGAGATAATACATCATGAAAGAAAATACAAGTTAAAGATATGTATGACCAACACATGGTAATTAAAATTAAAAAAATTAATAGGGGCTGTGGAGTATGAAAAGTTCAAGACAAAGAAAAGAACAAATGTTCATAGCTCATGAACTCTCAATTTTGCCTCCATTGCTTTGTGAAGGCCAATATATTTCGAGTGGCTGAATTGGTTTACCTTTATGATAGCAACGATTTTGTATTTAATATAGCGAGATTATTTCAATTTAATTGAAGTGATATAATTTCCCATAGCAATGCTTGAATCGTCTAGAATAGATCAGTGGTGTCAAACTCATGGGTTTTCGAGAGGCGCATTGCATTTTGAAAATTGTAAAAAGAGCCGCAAACAGTTTTTGATAATGTATACTTAAAAGATATTTTTAAGATAGTTTTAGTTTGTGACATACAACCAAACTAAGCAGTTGGATTAAGTTTTATTATTTTCTTCAATTTCAAATGCAATTACATATTAATATTTGCATTCCACTATTATTGCAACATTTGCAAGTTACAGTATTTATTATAAAAAATCGTAAAATTCTATGTACAACCATCAAAATCATTTTTGAACAAGCTTTGATTAAGGAAAGAATAATACATACACTAAAAATAACTTAATCTAAATATATGAACCTAAAATTAACAAAAATACTACAGTATAAACTCAATGTTTTAATAATTACATTTGTCCTGGCGTTTGGCATCTTTTTTGTGTCACCAGCATACTAAGGCCAGTCTGAAATGATTTTATAGTACCAACTCTAACTAACGAGGCCACATGATCATGGGTTTATCTGGATCTTTACGAATGTTTAATTAATTCCAGTAATGCAAAAAAGTTACTTTTATCATTTCATGTATAGATCAGTAAAAAAACAAATGACAGATTTTTTCGACAAGACATTTCGCACTACATTGCGTGGCATAGGATTGCTTGAATTATTATTGATATTGATTTTTAGTAACTAAGTCGTTGTATAATTATATTAATATACAAACACATGGAAATTTTCTGTTCGAAGTTGGTCTTCGAATTTGTCATATTGACTGCTGAGCTTATTGTGTTTTTTGATTGTATTGATGGAAATATGACAAATTAAACAATGTGCTTCAGAATTTTGTGAAGAGCAGAAATGTTACAACTCCAATTTTCTTCAAAAATGCCACCTTCTTCATGTACTTTGCGTTTAATTTAATTACTCAAGTGTTTTATTCAAGTATTCTTTTGCTAGCTTGATGTGTATTCTTAATTGGGCCAAAATGTGGACAAAAAAAATTAATATTCCAAAACTACTTTCAGTAAATTGTTTTCTGTGTGAATAATCAATTTCACTTTAGAAGGTTTGAAAAATCTATTACATTTAGATAAAAAAACAACTTCCAAAATACTATTACAATTATTGTTAAGCGTTCGAGGGCCGCACTGGAAGTTCTCTGGGGCCGCGAGTTTGAGATCCCTGGCCTAGATTGAAGTTGTTCAAAAAATATATGATAGTATTTTATCATGAATGATGATTATACCCCTTCCGGAATTTCTTCTATAGTACTACCAAAAGTTGATGAACCAAATATAACACAGGTGCAGTGAGGTACCCGTAATCCTCATTTCCAAAGCTGTTTTAAGTATGTCTGGCGTGTTTTGTGCCTTTTTACAAATAAGACCGCTTATGCAATCTTACGCTTTGGACTTTTTAGTTATTTTCCTCAAGCCCTGCAGGATGTGGGGGCCATACACAACTCTACCGGAGGGTCAAATGTCTTTGCATGCCTCCATAGGTTGTTTTTCTATTGCAAACATTATATTTCTTGGAATCACACTGTCACTGATATGTCGCCAGACCTCTGATATCTCCCCGTCCGCTATAGTTGTCCTGTGAATAAATAATAGGAAATTGAGATTAGACGAATAGTTGAAAGTTTTGCTTTATGTCGGCTTAATTTCTTGATTGATATACTTACTATTTCTGCTATTGCCTCTTGTACTGCAAGAGTCTCACAATGCTTAGACAGGTTTGTCCACAACTTTCACATCTGAAGAAAGAGAGGAGATTTATTAATTTTCGTTAAGAATAAATAAAGCAGTCTATATGATTTAGAATGGAAAAGCTAATAAATCCAATATCTCATGTTTTATGTAAAAAATATTTTACTGAATTTGGTATATATACCAACTAATAAAAGGGTTTAGTCAGAAAATTACAAGCATTCGTGGC